CTGGCATTTTTTAATTTTTAATTTTTTTGGTACATGGTAGGTGTATATATTTATGGGGTATGTGAGATGTTTTGATAAAGAAATGCAGTGTGAAGGCAGGAAAAAAAAATTTTTTTTTTCTTTTGGAAACAGTGTCTCACTTTGTCACCCAGGCTGGAGTGCAATGGCCCGATCATGGCTCACTGCAGCCTCAACCTCCCAGATTCAAGTGGTCCTCCTGCCTTAGCCCCCCAAGTAGCTGGAACTACAGGTGCATACCACCACCTCTGGCTAATTTTTGTAGAGATGGAGTCTCACTATGTTGCTCAGGTTGGTCTCAAACTCCTAAGATCAAGCGATCTGCTCACCTTGGCCTCCCAAAGTGCTAGGATTACAGGTGTGAGCCACCATGCCCAGCCCAAGAAAGATTCTTTTTAAAGACTGATGTTTCAAGGTGATTGAGGAGTGAATGAATCATTGTAATAAGGGTGAGAGGAGAAGGAAGAGACTAAAGATTTAAATTTGAGGGTCATCAATGTAAAAGTAAGAATAATTACCCTACTTACTCATAGTCTGCCTGTTGGGACATGTTTATGTCCTTGGTTGTAAATAGTTGTAGAATCTCTGAGGTCTTTGGGATTTTTACTTAGGTATGAGAGATTCCTAATCCATTAGGTTCAAAGTACCCATTCCTTTTCTCAGGGGAATAGTTTTTATTAAAGTTTGTATGCTTCTTTCAGATGGTTTTAAAACTTTATTAAATAGTCACTTCTCGGCTCTGGGCAATTTAAAAATTACCTAAAAAAAAAAACTTTATTAAATGAGGAAACCCTTTTTTACAAAATAAAATTTTATGCAAAATCCCAAAATAAAACATATTACTATTAAGTAATATTAAGAACTTAACATTTATAACATTTATTTTAGTTGTCAGTCTATGGAGAAAATGATGCTATTGGTGAAACTGAATTTGAGATTGGAAATTAAGCATGATAGTCTTGTTTCAGCCTTAGAATCCATTTTTTCCTCGTAGGCACTAGACCACCAGGGAAGAATCCAGTTGTGTTTCTGTATTTCGTTTTGCTTATGAAGTATTGTGGCAGTCTGGTACTGATTTGACAAGTTGTACAAACGGTAGAAGGTTGGTTTTGCTTGCTTGCTTTTTTTTTTTTTTTTTTTTTTTTTTTAGACAGGGGCTTTACTCTGTCACACAGGCTGGGCTGCAGGGTTTTGATTATAGCTCACTGTAGGCTTGACCTCCTGGGTTCAAGTGATCCACCTCATCCTCCTGAGTATCTGGGACTGCAGTTAATGCCACCAGACCTGGCTAAGTTTTTTTACTTTTTGTAAACATAGGGTCTCCCTATGTTGTCTAGGCTGGTCTAGAACTGGGTCCAAACTATGCTTCTCCTTCTTCCTTCCAAAGTATTGGGATTACAAACTTGAGCCACCACTCCCAGCCTTTTTTTTTTTTTTTTTTTTTTAAAGCTTGCTTTATCATGACCTCAGGATGCTACCAGTTGAACAAAGATCCAGAAGAAACTTCATTCTTAAGCCTACCCAAAATTAAGTTACCCAAGCAGCACAAATTAATGTGTTGGTGGAAAACAGTTTTGTTTTCAATAATACCATCAGTTATTATTGCTCCTACCTGTAGGTATTTTTCTAATCCCTTTTGTTCCTAAAGACTAAAAACCCTTTCTAGACCAGCCTTTTCCAAGTGTATTTCTTAATTATTTCTTTGTCAAGACATTGGATTAAAGAATGTTGAAAAGATGGTTTTTGCTGCAAAATTTAGCTGTATCTTTATTTTTTGTTATTTTTTGAGACAGGGTCTGTCTCTATTGTTCATGCTAGAGCACAATTGTGCAGTCACAGATTGCAGCCTCTGCCTCCTGGGCTTAAGCGGTCATCCTGCCTTGGCCTCCTAAGTAGCTAGGACTACAGGCATGTGCCACCATACTAGGTTAATTTTTATACTTTTTTGTAGAGACAAGGTTTTGCCATGTTGCCCAGGCTGGTCAACCTCCTGGGCTCTGGCAGTCTGCCTACCTTGGCCTCCCAAAGTGCTGGGATTACAGGCACGAGCCACCACACCCAGCCTTCTCAGTACCTTTAATGTGCATTATTGTAATTCTCCTAGAGGGGGCCTGTAAAGATTCATTTTTCCAGACTTGGTCTTGGATCCTTTTCTCCTGCAAAGAATATAGTATCTAGGTTTTCTTCTAGGGTTTTTATGGTGTTAAACCATTCAGGACATAGGCATAGGTGAGGACTTCATGACTAAAACACCAAAAGCATTGGCAACAAAAGCCAGATTAGACAAATGGGATCTAATTAAACTCCAGAGCGTCTGCACAGTAAAAGAAACAATCATTAGAGTGAACCAGCAACCAACAGAATGGGAAACAATTTTTGCAATCTACCCATCTGACAAAGTGCCAATATCCAGAATCTACAAAGAACTAAAACAGATTTACAAGAAAAAAACATCCAAACCCATTCAAAAGTGGGCGAAGGATATGAACAGACACTTTTCAAAAGAAGACATATATGAGGCCAACAAACATGAAAAAATGCTTATCATCACTGGTCATTAGAGAAATGCAAATCAAAACCGCATTGAGATACCATTCTCACGCCAGTTAGAATGGCAGTCATTAAAAAATCTGGAGACAACAGATGCTGGAGAGGATGTGGAGAAATAGGAACACTTTTACACTGTTGGTGGGAGTGTAAATTAGTTCAACCATTGTGGAAGACAGTGTGGTGATTCCTCAAGGACCTAGAAATAGAAGTTCCATTTGACCCAACAATCCCTGGGTATATAATTACTGGGTATATATCCAAAGGATTATAAATCATTCTATTAAAAAGGCACATGCACACATATGTTCATTGTGGCACTGTTTACAAATAGCAAAGACCTGGAACCAACCCAAATGCCCATTGATGATAGACTAGACAAGGAAAGTGTGGCACATATACACCACGGAATACTACGCGGCCATAAAAACGATGAGTTTGTGTCCTTTGTAGGCACATGGATGAATCTGGAAACCATCATTCTCAGCAAACTGACACAAGAACAGAAAATTAAACACCACATGTTCTCACTGATAGGTGGGTGTTGAACAGTGAAAACACATGGACGCAGGGAGGGGAGCATCACACACTGGGGTCTTTTGCAGGGGACTAGGGGAGGGACAGCGGGGGGTAGGGAGGTTGGGGAGGGATAACATGGGGAGAAATGCCAGATATAGGTGACGGGGGCGGTGGGGGGGATGGAGGCAGCAAGCCACATTGCCATGTATGTACCTATGCAGCAGTCCTGCATGATCTGTACATGTACCCCAGAACCTAAAGTACAATTAAAAAAAAAAAAGAATATAGTATCTAAGGGAATATCCTTTGGGAAAAACCGAACTAGTAAAATAGAAAGGATTTTGTATTATTCTTTTTTTCTCAAAATTTGCACATTGTCCAGTTCCATATTAGGTACCTGTTAAGTGATTATTGAATGAATAGGATTGATGGGCAGAGGATAAAGGGACTGAATCTTTGGGGAAGGGAAGAGTCAAGCACTATTGAGGGGTAAAAGGAGAAAGAAAATTGCATACTATGAAAGTTTATAGCCTATTCTGACTTCTCTCCTGCTTTGAAACTTTTTTTTTCCCCTTACTGCTTTTTCATCCATTGTCCTGAGGCCTATTTCCACAGTTTATCTCAATCAGTTAGGTTACAGTTTAGTATAATAACATCCACATTTTTGGAGTCTTATTGCAAAGACCCTGTGTGGGATGGTCACCTGATCAGGATCATTTAATTGCAACTAGATTTTCAGCTTTTTAGGGGCAGGGACACACTCAGTCATAATTGTTTTCTCCATTATACTGTGTACTCAGTATTCAGTATTTGAATAGGTGAATACATTTATTCATGTATTAAATAAGATTCTTAGAGCATGGTTCTTTTTGCTAATGACATACTTCCCTCTCCTCTGTAGCCAGTGTGCATTAGGAGTAAGATCTGTATCCTCCATTTCCATGTCACTTACTTCCTAATTTATCTTTTTTTTTTTGAGACAGAGTCTCATTCTGTTACCCAGGCTGCAGTGCAGTGGTGCGATCTTGGCTCACTGCAACCTCCACCTCCCAGGTTCAAGTGATTCTCCTGCCTCAGCCTACCGAGTAGCTGGAATTACAGGTGCCTGCCACCACACCCAGCTAATTTTTGTATTTTTAGTAGAGAAGGGGTTTCACCATGTTGGCCAGGTTGGTCTTGAACTCCTGACCTTAGGTGATCCACCTGCCTTGGCCTCCCAAAGTACTGGGATTACAGGCTGAGCCACCGTGCTGGGCCTCTCCTAGGTAAATTTTTTAAGCAAACGCACCTTTTTTATAGTTTCAGTTTGATTGTTGTTATTTTCCACTCCATGCCCTCCATTTGGTTTTTGGAATTCTTTTGCTGTTTTCCTTTAGAATAGTAGTTAGAAGCACAGACTTGGCATTAGACAGAGTTGGTATTATAGTTAACTATATTTTTGTCTGAGGGTTATTTTAATCTTTTGTTGGAAGTTCTGGCATGTGAGCATGATACACACAATTAAAAAGTTTCTTGAGAGTTGTAGAGAGCCTTAGAGTCAATGGTTTGAATGTCAGTGCTATGATGTAAAAGTTACAGCTTTGGGCCGGGCGTGGTGGCTCACGCCTGTAATCCAAGCACTTTGGAGGCCAAGGCGGGCGGATCACCTGAGGTCGGGAGTTCAAGACCAGCTGACCAACATGGTGAAACCCCATCTTAAAAAAAAAAAAAAGTTACAGCTTAGTGTAAACGTGAACTGACACAACATTGTTTCATGAGGACTTTGTTTTTAATAACTACCTGTTAAAAACTGGCTTGTTCCTTGTTGTTCTTCCCTTAAAATGTGAAGTTAATTCACATTAACTGGTGGTCCCACATAGAGTCCTGATTTTAAATGTTCAATGTATTTAGCTTTCCCTGGTATGATTTCCATATAGGTAGAGTACAGAGAGATGGATGAAAGCTTGGCCAACCTTTCAGAAGATGAGTATTATTCAGAAGAAGAGAGAAATGCTAAAGCAGAGAAGGAAAAGAAGCTTCCCCCACCACCCCCTCAAGCCCCACCTGAGGAAGAAAACGAAAGTGAGCCTGAAGAACCATCGGGTGAGTTGTAGTATCCAACCACAGTTCTCTTTTGTTTTAGAAATAATAAGGAATGGATTTATTTCCATTCTACAGTATTATTTATGTCTTCGTCTTTGGTTTATACTCTGATATTGGGGCTCCTGCCATGTGTGTCTTTGTGTGTGTGTATACATATACATGTATATGTGTGTGTATGTATACACATACATACATTGTGGTACTGATATTCTTTTTGTGTATCTGTACAGGAGGAAAGTAAAGGATGGGAATGGAAGGACAGTGACAATATGAGATGGTTGGAAAGTAGGAAAAAATAAATGATTAGAGAAAACATACAGAAAGCCAAATCCAGAGCACTGGAGTTCTCAGTGACAGCTCTGATTCAGAATTTTTTCTGGCTAAATGATGTATTTACCATGTAGTTAGATACTTTCTGATAAAACCTTCATGATGTGGATCAGTTTTGAGAAGTGCCTTTTCCTGGTGAACAAATGTAAAAATATATTCTAGGCCAGAAAATCTAAGCTCACACAAGCTTCCTTATATCCTAGAAAGATTATGGGACTCTATAGTTTTGGTTTCAGAGCTTCAAATGGCTAAGGAATCCTCACTAACATCTCAATGCTGAGTACTAGCTTCTGGAGAATGGCTGGACCAATCAGGGATACACAGCTTTCTGTTTTGGAGAGACCAAGCAAAAGCAATATTTTAATGAATTTTTGTGTCTTGTGCCCTTAATGACATTTTATTTACTCTTCTTGTCTTTGAATTTTTACTAAGTTCCTCTTGAAATAATTTTTATATTTTGGATAGCCCCAGACCCACTCATCTCTCCATTTCTTTTTTTGTCCTATACCGTTTAAAAACAATTTGGTGGTTTCAGACCCCATCTGCTGGATCTTTCATGACTTTTGTAGGTAGACAGATTAGGACATTTTTAAAGTTTTTTCTCCCCTGTAATGTTACTGTGAATTACCTATTGATGCTTCACTTGACGGCATTAACCAGTCAAATGTTATTTTAGGTTTGGAGCTTATCAAAATATGGCCAGAACTTAAAAACCAAATTTATAATTTATAGGATTGTAATAAAGTATAGTAAACAATACAGTTTGAGAACATTCAGAAAAAGATAGATTAGATTCTGGTTTCAGTTCATTCAAAAGTCAGGGGTTTTCTAAGAAGAGTGATTTTCCTAAAACTTTCTTAAAATGATTTCTTGGGCAACTCCTCGTTGGAAGATTTCTAGCGTCAGTGGTATATTACCTTTGGGGCTCATGTCCCCCAGGCAAGTGTATCTGCCTTTTTACTTTAACTACACCTTCTCTTATTGTTGATTTTTCTTCTTCTTCTTTCTAGCCTTACACATTTAATTCTCTTCTTTCTGTTCTTACCTCCAACCTTTCCCTTTGCCCTATGCTCTTTTCTTCGTATTCTTTTTAGTTCTTGCATTTTTGTTTCTTCTATCTTTGCTGTAGACCTGCTGATGAGATACTTGGGGATAACCCTTTTGATGTCTGTCGTGGCTCAAGAGTGAGCTGACCTCTTAGTTCAAGGGCTCTAAGTATTATGCAGTGATGATCTGATACCTGAGATGCTGCCTCACCTTTTTTGTGTGGTTTTGTCTTCAGTAAATAATTGATTTACCATAGGTTCCAAGTTGATAAACTTTTCTTTGTAAATTTTAAACCAAGTCTTGTTGTTGCTGTTTTCTTTTTTCTGAAAGGGTTTTTTTGTTTTATAATTTCATAAATGTCAGGCATTGTTCCCACAAAAAGTAAATTCTTAGCAAAAGGATTTAGGATTTGGGAGCTGTCTTTATTGTGATCTAGTTAATTCTAATGCAGTGGTTTAGTTTAAGTTATCTTTGGTTTTGGGGGGAAGTTAAAGTTTTAAGTTGGTATCTTCGGTGCTTAGAAATGTGTTGATAACAGCCAAAACTTGCTGACATATTATTTGTGATTATGAAAATAGTTATTGCTCTTTTAAAACAATTTAATGTTTTTTGAAAATTTCTGGGGTGATTTGGGATGTGCATTTCCCTAGAAAAAAGTGTCAACTTACTGGCCTAAACTACTTATGTAGTTTAGCAATAGACTGGGGCCCTGATGGTGAATCATAAAATATATCATAAAATATTTAAGGTGAGTCAAATATTTGGACACTGTCCAGGGTCTCTAAGTCTTTTGTCTTATCATCTTTCACAGGAGTTTTTAGTCAAAAATTGAGTGGAAGCATTGCTTCCATTCAGTGACCATGTTAAAAGCTTGAGAGAAGATGTGGGTTTGTTTCTTTTTTTTTTTTTTGGAGACGGAGTCTCATTGTTACCCAGGAGGCTGGAGTACAGTGGCATGATCTTGGCTCACTGCAATCTCTACCTCCCGGGTTCAAGCAATTCACCTGCCTCAGCCTCCTGAGTAGCTGGGATTACAGATGTGCACCACCACACCCAGCTAATTTTTGAATTTTTAGTAAAGACAGGGTTTCACCATGTTGGCGAGGGTGGTCTTGATCTCCTGGCCGTGTGATCCACCCGCCTTGGCCTTCCAAAGTGCTGGGATTACAGGTGTGAGCCACCATGCCCGGCTTGTGGGTTTGTTTATTTACCAAACCTTTTCTTGTTCTCAGTCCTTTAGGCAATCACTAGAAATTAACTTATTCTGTCAAAAAAACATAGGTAAGGGCTGACTGGGCACAGTAACTTAGCACTTTGAGAGGCTGAGGCGGGTGCATCACGTTTCCACTAAAAATACAAAAATTAGCCAGGTTTGGTGGCACGTGCCTGTAATCCCAGCTACTTGGGAGGCTGAGGTGGTAGAATCGCCTGAACACATGAGACAGAGGTTGCAGTGAGCCAAGATCGTGCCACTGCACTCCAGCCTGGGTGACAGAGCAAGACTCCGCCTCAAAAAAACAAAAACAAAATTAAGGTTTGAATACATTTCATTCTTAACAACTTTTAAATTTGTTTAGAAAATTTGGCTTTGCTTTCTGCAGTATATTAATCTTAAGAAGAAGAAAATATTTTGTTAATTACGGAAACACAAGGTATTCTGAAGTCAGTGGGTCAATTTGACTGGAAAAGTTTCCTCTGGCAGAGTACTGAGAGGAAGCCAGAAAGATGGGAGCCAAATTGTGAATAAGCCTGGCTTGATTGACTAAGCCAGGCTAAGGAATTTGAGCATTAGTGTCAGGGGTAGTCTTGAAATTTTTTGAGCAAGGAGGGTTATACTGAAATATGTTTTTGGAAAGATCAATCTCATGTTCTCTAAGGGTGAACTAAAGGAGTAAAGAAGCTGAGATTGGAGAGATAATGTAGGCTATTGGTCAGTGGGAAAATGTTCTTAATATCAAAGTTGAATTTTTATGGAAAGAAGAAATTTGAGTGTTTTTGTTTGTCTGATTGAACTTATTTAATTGGGAGGAAGTTCTCTCTGTTGACTTAAACATTGTTTTTAGATTTGTCAATTTTTGACCGTAAATTAATGTGGCATTGTAGTCCTATGGTAGTCAAAATAGGTAAATAATGGATTTTTCATACCAAATATTACTGTTTATATTTTAAAACTACCTCATTTTGTTTTCCTCAACATTTCCATGCATTTTTATATTTATTATACTTTTGAATATATTTGTTTTAACAAATGATGGTTTTATTTGGTTTCCTAGTACCTTTTCTGTGAAGATGAAGGTTTTTTTAGGTCATGCCAAAGTAAACTTGAACAGGTTGTCTTTGGAATTAAGTGTTTGGTTACTAACAGCGTCACATAATTGTGGAGCTTTTATAAAATAGAGTCAAATCTCATTCATTTGGACTTCATTGATTTAGAATAATTGTCCTCTGGTAAAGTACGCTTCTGTTTTTTAGAGAAATGCCTTTTTCCTGTCTTTGCTCAGATTGTTACCGTGTGTACCTTACATTATTTTCCTCAGTGAGTTTTACATTCCTGTATTAACTGATTTGCCCACACTTGTTTTTTTTATTTTCACATGGAAACATGATTTGATTTTTTTTTTTCCCCCTCCACTGCCTTTCAGCAGTTAAAATTTACCAGAAAACTCTTACTAGTTAGTTCCTGGATTTAAATTTTATATTGGGTAACTTTTCACTAGAGAACTCAAGATACATTCTGGGTTAGAAGTAGCTTAGTTGTACATAGCCTGAGACTTTAATGAAACTTATCCCAAAATAAGTAAAAGGAAATATGAAATGGGTTATTAAGATGCCTGCTCAAGCCTTCTTCAAGTTAGTGTATTTCTCAGTAGAGGCATCAGAAATGTGATTATGTGTGTATGTATATATGCATGTGAGTGTGTATATCATTTTTCTAGGCTCAGTGATGTCCTTATACTTACACTCTAATGAAGATAAGAGGCTTCCATTAAGTCATTGGTTAACTCTTGAAATAGATTTTGTTAGATTTGATTGGTAACAAGTCTGTATTATAATTCATTTTATGGAATGACCATGGGAAGAATCACTTTATCTCCTTGTTTATATTCTTATGTGTACCAGAGGAAGCTCTCTTCTCTATTACATATGGTAATTTAAAAAGTTTGTAGGTGTGTGTTTTAAAAAGATGTAGGCTGTTTTTTTGGGGGGTTTTTTTGTGTTGTTTTTTTTTGAGACGGAGTTTCACTGACTGGAGTGCAGTGGCACAATCGTGGCACACCACAACCTCTGCCTCCTGGGTTCAAATGTCCTCCTGCCTCAGCCTCCTGAGTAGCTGGGATTATAGGCATACCTCACCGTGCCCAGCTAATTTTGTATGTTTAGTTGAGACAGGGTTTCTCCATATTGGCCAGGCTGGTCTCGAACTCCTGACGTCAGGTGTGAGCCACTGAGCCCTGTCAGGTTTTTAACTAAATTAACAAAAATCACTGATGTGCGAGAGTGGTATGATAAAAAGTTTAATTAATTTGGGGCTTGTTCACACAATAGTCATACTGTAAATTGAAAGAATTTTTAAAATGTACATGAAAGGTGATGTTAACGTGAATTAGTAAAAATACTAAATT